ATACGGAGCACCGGCGTGGAAAGTAAAAACCTCTAATTGGTAAACGGGAAATATAAACAAGCAAACCGGCATGCGAATGGCAATGATTTATTGCAAGGTTTGATTGAATTCATTTGACTCTGTTTACACGATAGCCACTCGCGCATTTCTCGCCCATATTCCACCCCCGTCTGTTCAAGCTTGCTCTTTCTCTCTCTCTCTCTCTCTCTCTCTCTCTCGATATTTAGACTTTTCCCATTCGCGCATGTTATTTTTTTCGTCGATTCCGTTCGTTCATTCGTTCGTTCATTCGTTCGTTCGTTCGTTCGTTCGTTGCCGCCGCCGCGAAGTTGTTCCCTGTAAAAGTTGAAACAGCGGACGATGCACGTTTTTTTTCTACGTGCATACTACCGGCCACGACGCCTGAACCGTAGAGGGGTTTACCCTTCCACCCGTTATCGTTCGAAAGCGTAAAGCTTCGTTTTATTTCATTTTTGTTCGGTACGTTGGAATGGGCCACCACCGTGCCTAGTCTCGAGAGCCGACACGGGGATGATTTCGTCGATCGCCCTGCGCATGTATCTTTTATTCGACGTTGATTCCTCGTTAGTAGTACAATAACTACCTTGGTATATATATATATATATTATAGAGTATATTCTCGTATTAGATACGAAGGAAAATTACGGCTTTGTTTGCATCGGTATCGTCCCGACGTAATTTATCTACACGAAAATATATATATATATATATACATATATATATAGATGATATACATATATATAGGATGACATTCCTCATTTGAGTTTTTTATACAAAATACAATTAATTATTGGAAAATTTTTGACGTTTTTCAAATAATATAAAAGGTTTGTCTTTATAGAAATAAAAAAGACAATTGTAACTTCTTTTATCTTTCTTGTAGATATACGAAAGAGATTCTTTGTATTTTTTTTTTTTCTTTTCTTTCCTTTTTCTTTTTATTTCATGCTTCAGTTCTCATCCATTTAAATCCCATAAAAAAACATCGAGCAAAATATTTCTCATAATGGGTTCGATGAAAAATCATGGACACTTCTCGTGTTTCTCTTTCATAACACCTTAAACGTTATTCCGTCTAAAAGGAACGTGAAAGCCCTTAAGTTTTACACGTCGAACGCGAGGACTTGCTAGGAGTCTTCCGATGCTTAGAACCCTTGCGCGAAGAAGTAGATGATGGGTAGATGTAGGGGTAAAGAGAAACGAGGTATCTACCGGGTGTTCATCTCGCGTCAATCCAGAATAGATTTTTCTTCGTGGAAGCTTGCACGAGGTATACGAAGAAGAATGAAGAGAAAGAAAGCGACAACGGCGAAGGAGAAAAATCTAATAGACTATCGAAATCGAGTTTGAACCCCTGTAAGAAACTACCCCCGTCTAGAACGACACTCTTCTTCTCTCTCTCTCTCTCTCTCTTTCTTTACGGGCTATGTTCGCTATACAGCACCATCTCTGTATCTTTCTCTCTCTTTCTCTTTCTCCTCTATATTTCTCTGTATTGGAGAGAAGGGTGCCCGAAATGAAATCCAGTTCGCATTTGAATCAATCGGTAACGTAATCCATTAGCCTCTAACAGCCAATGCTTGGAGGATGATACTGTAGGAAACGGAGAAGAAAGCGTACGAGGTATCGTGTAACACGACACGTCGAAGTGTCGTTAACGATTAGTCTTCTCTATTTAAAAAAATTTCTATACTATTTTCGACGAATCCTTTAAATGTAACGAACATCGTTGAAAAAGTTAAGTATCCCGATCGATATACACTATGGATAATCTAAAAAGGTACGGAATAGAGGATAAAGCATAACGATAGATAGAGGGATGTCGACTGTCATATTCTTTTTTTATTTCTGTTCAGCAACGAATCTCTTTCATCTCCCATGGCGATACTCTTCTAATGTCGATAAATGCCGCTATCGGCATCGAATCGATCTCGACAGGTCGAGATAAGACAAAGATCCACGAAATGTTCGACGATATTTTCCCATGACAGTGACTCTCAACTGTTGATCTTTAACGGTTAAAAAAAAAAAAAAAAAAAAAAGAAAAACAAAAAAAAGAAAAGAAAGGAGAAGAAAAAATTTCTTCCATATAAAACATCTCGATGATAATATAGGTAAAAGAAATTTGAAAATGAGTTGAAACTATTTCGAGAAACGTTATCGAGTCGTTCCTGTTGTCTTCGTGCTCGTCGTCGTACCAGTTAAAGGGCCACTTTACGCCCGGTAGTATCATAGATGTAGGTAGTACGCTCGATGGCGTTCCTATCTACGAACGACTAGAAGGCGTCGTCGTCGTCGTCGTCGTCGTCGTCGTCGTCGTCGTCGTCGTTGTCGTTGTCGTTGTCGTTGTCGTTGTCGTTGTCGTAGTCGTAGTCGTAGTCGTAGTCGTAGTCGTGTAGTCTTCGTGTTGCTCTGCAGCCTCGAGCGCAACGAAGACATCCTGTTTAGAGCAAGATCCACGATAGCGATAAGCCAAGGTACAATGCTTTGAATACCCATCCAGCATTCGCGATACCATCTTAACGTTCTCTAAGAGTAAACGAAATTAAATTCGCTCGACGCTTTCGAAGAGAAAGAGAAAGAAAAGAGAGCAAGAGAGAGAGAGAGAGAGAGAGAGAGAGAGAGAGAGAGAGAGAGAGGGAAAGAGAAAGAGAGAAAGATAGAGATAGATAGAGTGCATTCTCACTGAAACTACAAGTCCTTCGAAACGGATACGAAACGCGTGCTACGCAAGATCGATACCTTTCTTCCCCTTTTCTTTCTAGCAACGAAGAATCAGCTTTTTCTTCATAGATGGTGTTACATGTTCGACACGATCAAATATTTAACAAATTCAATAGATACTTAATGTAAATGCATTATTACTTTTACCGGATAGATCAGTAATTTTTTTTTCTTTCTTTCTTTCTTTCTTTCTTTCTTTTTTTCTTTTTTTTTTTTTTTTTTTTTTTTTTTCCTTTTTTTATTCGAACATCATTTCTTTCACGCATATAATAAAAATGAAATGAAACACTAATCTCAATGATAATTATCATCGTATAATGTATCTATTATAAACTTAATGAGAACGATGATATACGAAATATCTTGTTTAATTCATTCGTTGTTATTAAAACGATATATCTTTCGACGAAATTCGTCGTCTTTTCTTTCTAACGCGTGAAACAAAAAAAAGCGTGAACGTAGGCGCGTATATAAGAGCATAAAAGGGATCCTCGAAATAGCAGCTACCCTTCGTATTTTGTTCGTTCGATGATTTGCGCGCGCGTGTGTTCGGAGTAAGCGAAAGAAGAGAGAAAGAGAAAGAGAGAGAGAGAGAGAAAGAGAAAGAGAAAGAGAGAGAGGGAGGGAGAGAAAGTTGGAAAGAGAGAGAGAGAGAGAGAGAGAGAGCAAAAAAAGAAAAGCTAACACGCTAGTCGAAGGTATGTGTTTGATTTTTCCATGAAGTCCCGGATCGCGGGAACGCACTCCGCGGGGGGATGACAATGTACTCCCACGGGAATGGAGGCCTAGCAGCCACCCAGAAAACCACCCTTCTTCTATCTCTCTTCGCGTCTCGGCCCTCCTGATTGTTTCCTACGTGTCTCCTACGCTTTTTCCGATCTTCCTCCTACTATCGCCTATATATTCGGGAGTTTTCGACTAGCTCGCTCTCTCGTTCGTTCATTCCCTTTTCTCCTCTTTTCTCCTCTCCTCTACACTCCTCTCTTCTCCTCTCCTCTCCTCTCCTCTTCTCTTCTCTTCTCTTCTCTTCTCTTCTCTTCACTTCTCTCCTCTCGTTTCCAACATCCACGAACCTTCAACGATCCGCCATCTCTCTCTTTCTCTCTCTCTCTCTCTCTCTCTCTCTTTATTTCTCTCTCTTTCTATTTCTCTGTCTCTCTCTCTCTCTTGCTCTCGCTTAGAAACGGCCGCGGCTTCCAGCACGGCACAGTCGAAAAATTTCCTCGAATTCAATATCCCTCGATATTCTACATAATTCATGAAAATTGAGCCGCCGGCTTTTTTGCCTGAACCCTCCACCTCTTTTTCTCCTTCCTTCCTTCCTTCCTATTCCCCCCCTCTCTCTCTCTCTCTCTCTCTCTCTCTCTCTCTCTTTCCGTTTCTCTCTATATCTCTCTCTCTCTATCTTTCTTTTTCTCTCTTTCTTTCTTTCTTTCTATCCTTCTTTCTTTTACTCTAACACATCTTCACGTCCTACATATAGGAACGTTTTCTCGTAGACGAAAGCCAGCAGTGCACCAGTTCTACTTCGATCTCGTCTGCGCGCGTCTAACTTTCTATCGTCTCTCTTTCTCTCTCTCTCTCTCTCTCTCTCTCTCTCTCTCTTTCTCTTTCGTCGGTTTTTCACGAACACCCTCCCACTCGCATCGTTCACCCTTTTCTATCGACGTCAAGCTTCTAGGACAACTCGACGATGCTCGTCCGTCTTAAAAATCGTCACGTTTCTATTGTTTCAGATATTTTGTTTTCCTACTAAACTCCCTCCCAGCCTTCTAACCTCTCTTCCCATCCACCCCTTTTCCCTTTATTTTTTTCTTTTAATAATAATAATAATAATATCTTTTATAGGTGACGATTTTTTTCCTGGCTTTTTTTTCTTTTCTTTTTTTTTTTTTTTTTTTTTTAGAAAGATTAGTCTGTAAGATGTCGTTTGACATTTACACGAGAAAAGACAAGCGCACATTTTTTATAGTGTATATATATATATATATATAATTATATATATAGACGATACCTTACGTAGATACCTAGAAAGGTCGAGAAACACGTGGTCAGGTAGATCGGGCTAAGGGGCCGGCGTTTAATCTAAAGAAATACTGAATAATAGAGGCGAGTTAGACGAGACTCGCGATTGGCTTATACAGTATTCAAGGTTGCTTTCCAACAAAATTCACCTTCTAATTAAGTTCTCGTCTTTAGAGGATTGTTAAGCAAGTTGTCAACCATTTAACTAGCTTCCCCTACTCTGTTTTCAGATTCTTCCTCAAGTTCTTTCTCAAGTGCAACCAAAACTGCCTTAAGAATGCCGGCAATCCGCGTGACATGAGACGATTTCAGGTAAGACCATTAAAAACTTTTTTATCGTCGATATTATTAAGAATTAAAATTAACCGTTGTTAACCATTCAGACTTTATATGGGGTCATATAGTATATATGAAAGTTAATTTATCGTCATTGGCGCAAAATGTCTTTACCGAGTAATCGGAGTGGTTCTCGTAAGAGAGAGGAAAAAAAAAAAGAAGAGAAATTTTTTTTTTTTTTTTTAATTTCCAAAAGGAAACGTCCCCGGTGAAAAGACAAGAATTTCTCGATGGGGCGACCATCGTCGAAAGTTGAGAGCCCCATCCAAGAGACTTGTAATCCAAGGGGTTGGCAATTAGCTCAGCACGGCATCAGCCAGCCCGTCCCCTTTCCCCGTTTTATCCTTTATCCTCCCTAACGACCCCTCCTACGATCCTCCTACGGACCGACGCCCGTATCTCGCCATCCGGCTTTTCCTCCTTTCGCCGAGACAAAAGACAGAATTAAAAAATAAATTAGCAAAAACCACGTCGCACGTTTTTCCCCTTCCCCATCTCCTTTACGTTCCACTTTCTTCTTCTCCTCCTCCTCCTCATTCTCCTCTTCTTTCTCCTCCTTTACGTTTACTTCCACCAAACGTCTTTTTACTGTACCCTTATCCTTCTCTCTCTCTCTCTCTCTCTCTCTCTCTCTTTTTCTCAATTATATAACAGGGTCGCGCTCAACCAAAATTAAAATACTTATCGCAGTTTCGAATTTGTTTTGGTATTGCTTACCGTCGAAAGTTACGAATTAAAATTTCAGCCCCTTCACAACCCGCGAAAATTTCGCGTAGCACTGAAGGGAGAACACTCTTAACCCGCTCTTATCCTTTGAGACTTGCCACCGCGTTATTCGCCGGGCTAATACCACCGACTGTGCAAGAAAGTTGGCAAAACTTTGACTGGACAAAAGTTCGCGCGCCGATTTTACGAATGTTACCTACTACTAAGGAATCTGGAACGTGAGAAATTCTTCTCCTTCACTTAGTTTCTCTTACGAAGAGAAAAAAAAAGGAAAAGAAGGAAAGAAAAAAAAAAAAAAACAGAAAAAGAAAAAAAGCGAGAGATAAACTTTAATTCACTCGGCTCGATTAATCATTTTAATTGAGTATCGTCGTTATTTTAACGCTCGTATTTTAACACCGAAATTATCTCTATCTATCTATTTGCGCAAATACACGTTTCCTTTTTATATCTTGTGTAAAGTCGAAATCGCGAGAGTCACGAATTGCATGCCGACTTGTTGGTTATACACGTTATCACATCCGACAAATTTGTTCGTGTTTGCTCACTCGCAAAAAAATGTAAGCCCTCAAGTTTATATGTCGTGCAGAAAATTTGCGCTTTAAATGCTTCGATTACTTCGTCCGTTTACGTTTTTAATTCGTAATACTTGTTACAGAAACGGAATTCATTGAAACATGAAATTTACGATATTACGGGAAACGTAATAATGTTGTGAATTAAATGAATCTAAAACGATCGTAAATTTTCTCGTTTATATCGTTACTCTGATACATATAATTACATATATAAATATTTACCTACGCGTCATATATTTTACATGCGATCGATTTATAATACGATTTTCAGCTAATCTTAAAATTTATGTTCTAGGTGATCATATCGACGCAAGTAGGAGTGGAAGGTCCATGGTTAGCGGTATCCGATAACATGTTTGTCCACAACAATAGTAAACACGGACGCAGAGCGAAACGATTGGACCCCAGTGATCCTGGCGAGTATAACAGTGAGTATAGATCAAAGATATAATGGAGTATAATATGTTCCTTTCGAATTGATTTTCTTAAAAATCATTTTTGGCCAAACATCTTCTATCCTCTCTCTATCTATCTATCTATCTATCTATCTATCTATCTATCTATCTCTCTCTCTCTCTCTCTCTCTCTCTCTCTCTCTTTCAATACCACGATACTCGAGTTTAGTGTACTCTGAACGGGACGATACTTTACGAAAGAGATTACGATCATAATACGCGATTAAAGCGGCGTAACTTGGGTAATCGAGTTTAAGCGTTCGTCTCTTGGATCCCTGCATAGCCACTATATATCTCTCTCTCTCACTCTCTCTCTCACTCTCTCTCTCTCTCTCTCTCTCTCTCTCTTCCGCGCGCGTTCTCTCAGGCAACTCAGTGGCGTATAATCGATCCCATTAAGTCCGTTATACGTTCTCGTTTAAAGGTAACGTCGTTAAGTAATATACCTCTCTACACAGTTATTTCGCGACAAATTGAACGATTCAAATTGATCTTTGGGAATTGTTATATAGAAGAAAACTAAATGTAACCATGTAATCTTGACATTTATTCCAACCTCATAGTGATGGAGTTTAACGTGCAATTTGATTCGAGGCTCCTCCCACCAATCCACCATTCCTTAGAAGTGGAAAGATCAAAGCTGATTTCCCAAACGATTCACGGTTGTCACTCGCAATTGGAAGGAGCTAGTGTTGCCCCACGTGCGCGGCGTATTCGAGCGAGACGAACGTGAAAGAGTAAGAGTAAGAGTAAGAGTAAGAGTAAGAGTAAGAGTAAGAGTAAGAGAGAAACAGATAGAGAAAGAGAGAGAGGGAGAGAGAGAAAGAGAGAGAGAGAGAGAGAGGGGTAGAAAGAGGAAGAGAGAAAGAGAGAGGAGAATACTGGTTTTCTTCGGGATCGGTATAACGACTCGGGAGGTACGGCGAAGAGGCGGAATCGTAAGGAGGGCCGAAGGAGGCTGGGATATAAGGAGTCATAGGGCAATTCAGCAAAGTTTGGCGTCGGCCGCGCATACAAACGGCTGATATCGCGCGGATACCCCTCGCTACACTCACTCTCTCGCGTGCACTCATTTCTCTCTCTCTCTCTCTCTTTCTCTCTTTCTCTCTTTCTCTCTCTCTTTCTCTCTTCTTCTTTCTCTTTCTCTCTTTCTTCTTTCATTCCCTCTTTCTTTCTTTCCCTTTCTATTCTTTATCCTTTTCAACCTTCTCTTTTTCTTATTCCTCTTCTGAGTCTCTCCCGCTCGTCGTTCCTACAACGCCAAGACAAGATGTAAATCAATGGGATGCGGGAAAACGAAGGATCCTTCCTTCTCCTTCCACTTTCCATCTTCTTATTCTTTTCTTTCTTTTCGCTCTTTCTCTTTCCTTCTTCTTTATCTCTTTTTATTTCTTTTCCCCCTTTGTCTGGTTGGCTGCCACACCAAGAGCAAAGACACGAAGAGAGAACGGAATTGGCCCTCTCCTCTCCTTTCCTCGAGCTTTTCGTCTTCCTCACTCTTTTACTCTCTCTCTCTCTCTTTCTCTCTCTCTCTCTCTCTCTCTCTTTCTCTTTCTCTTTCTCTTTCTATCTTTTTGCTTTCTCGTCTCCCTCTTTCGCACGCCGACCGTGCCGTGGCGCGTTGGTTTGTGAATGCTAAGTTTAAGCTATCTCGTGGCACCACCCCCATTCGCTCACCCTCTCAAGCCCACTGACGCCATACCACCACCACCACCACCACCATCACCACCAACACACATTCGCTCTTTCCAAATCCCCTCGCTAGCTACCCCCGAAACGCTGGAACGAGCATACCAATGAGAAAAGACCGAGAGAAAGCTCGGCCGCGACGTTTCTCTTGCTTTTTCCTGCCAGTGTATCATTCGATTTCTACTTCTTCTTCTTGTTCTTCTTCTTCTTCTTCTTCTTCTTCTTCTTCATCTTCTTTTTCTTTTTATTTCTCTTCTTTTTCTTTTTTCTCCTTCACCTTCTTCCTTTTTTCTTTTGCATCTTCTTTTTTCCTTTTATTTATATATACAAAAGGAAAAGATTTTTCACTTTGAATTAATGCATTTTATCATTTCGATTTTATTTTAACGATGATAAGGGATGATAAAGAGATCCTTAATATATTCGTGTAAACAATCCGGGTGTTGGAATAACAACGCGACTCTTCGAATTCGAAGGATGGTAAAGGAAGAGCTTGCAGAGGGTCGTAGAGGATTGAGAGAGTCGAGAGAGAGTAGCACCCCTTACCATTCAATGGCACGGGGGATTTTATTTATTCCGAGTTGGTACGCTTGTTCCGGTCTTCTCTACCGAATCCCTCTTTTCAACTCTCCTCCATTTCCTCCTTCTATTCTACCACCACTACTACTAACATCACCGCCACCGCCACCACCACCACCATCACCACTACCACTACATTCTCCTCTTCCTCCACCTTCCCATGTTACTCTTCTTTCTCCCACTACCCTATCGCTCGACAATTCCCTACCTAGGATGGTTGCCAAAACGGCTGCTTCCGTTTAACGACTTTCTTCTATACCGAACGCAATAAATACCTACGTCCCATTCAAGAATCTTCGTTTTCAGACAAAGTTGAAACTTTTAAACGGCTCGTCTCACCCCTTCCCCTCCCCCTCTCTATCTATCTCTCTCTCTCTCTTTCTCTCTCTCTCCCTTTCTTGGTTCCATTCTTACTTACTTTTCATCGTTTCAAAGTTTCCATCGTAATATTTATAATCGTTATCGTATATTTCAAATCGATCGATCGATCGATCTCACGATTTCGATCTGATTAAAAAAAGAAAAAAGAAAAAAATCGATAATATCGATTCTAATGGATTTAAAAGAGAAAAGTTTTCAACATTTCAGAGAACATTCCGAACGAGCCATCTATGTAAGTCTCTTAAGCTTCGTGAGATTTATCTTTCGGAGAGTGGATCCATAGTAGAAAGTGTTTGAGCGTCACTGGGAGCAATATACCATGATGTCAGCCACTCTGCCGTGGCTCCGCTTTGCCAGGGTCGGTGCCGGGGGTGGTTTGGCTTCGCTGGGGTACAAAATGATATCATTGGGTTATAAATTCCAAGCAGAGACACCGGCGCCCCGATCGTCCCCCCTCCCCTTCTTCCTTCTTGTTACAACCCTTCTCTGGATCCTCCGACCCTCGTCCTCTCTTCTTCCTTCCCTCCCTCTTTCACCCTCTCTCTCTCTCTCTCTCTCTCTTTCTCTCTCACTCTCTCTCTCTCTCTCTCTCTCTCTCTGTCTGTATTTCTCTTTCTCTCTACCTTTCTCCGTTTCTCCTTTATACGTCCTCTCTCCGTTTTCACGTCCGGAACCAACCCCATGACTCTGAGAAATATATCTGCCACTTGGCCTCGACCGAATAAACAGAATATCCAGATAATTTTCCATATCCCATTCCTCGATGCAACCACGATTTTCTCCTAGACACTTTTTCCATGTTTCTTTCTGTATCCGATCGTTCCTTCTTATTTCGTCCGTTCCATTTCACTCACGAGGGTAGCGTTATACGTATTATTATCAACGTAAAAACGACAAGGGTCTTTAACGCTTGACATCTTTTTCACACAGGTTTGTATCAACCCATACCACTTCAGACACCCTGCATAAAGGCGATATCGCCGAACGAGGGTTGGACGACGGGTGGATCAACCGTAATAATCATAGGCGAGAACTTTTTCGACGGGCTTCAAGTTGTTTTTGGATCTATGCTAGTTTGGAGTGAGGTCAGCTTAATTAAAAAAGATCGAATATCTTTGAACGTAGCGACAAGTTTTTTTTTTTTTTCTTTTTTTTTGTCATTCATTTAAAGAGATTCGACGAAGCTTTATTTGTAATCTTTTTTATTTACAGATAATTACTCCGAACGCGATCAGGGTACAGACGCCGCATAGAGAGATACCGGGTGTTGTCGAAGTAACGCTTTCATACAAAAGCAAACAATTTTGTAAGGGGGCACCTGGCCGATTCGTTTACGTCTGTAAGTAATACGTCTGATTGGACTATATGTTTCAATTAAGAACAAAAAAGACAAGAGAGAGATCAAAAAAAAAAAAAAAAAAAAAAAAAAAGAAAGAAACATAGCAAGACAAAAAATGATCCTGTGTTTCTTAACGAATTGCAGCTTTAAACGAGCCAACGATCGACTATGGTTTTCAAAGGTTACAAAAATTAATTCCACGACATCCAGGGGATCCGGAAAAATTGCCAAAAGAAATAATATTGAAACGAGCAGCCGATTTAGCGGAAGCATTGTACAGTATGCCAAGGAGCGGTAACGCGGGTATAGCGGGGGCGTCGAGGAGTCCAGGAGCGGGACACCCACCGGCGCCCCCGACTTCGAGTTCGGCGACAGCGTTCAACTCGTATACAGGACAACTCGCCGTGACGGTGCAAGAGAATGGTAGTGCTACAAAGTGGACGGACGGTAAGTAACAATAACTCCAAGGAAGTTTCCTTCATGTATAACTCGTCGCTCGAAGAAAAGGAGGAAGAGACAAGCGCGAGATCAGCATCCGACGGATACATTTTGACACGACTGACAAAACATCGCCTCGACGTCTATCGCATCGATGCCGTTTCATTGCATAATACGCTGTCATCGTTGGTATCGTTTTAGATTTACATTTTTACTTTTGATATCGTTCGTATGAGATAATTTTCGACAAAAAAAAAAAAAAAAAAAAGAAAAAGAAAAAAGAAAAGAAAAGAAAAATAAATAAATAAAACACATCTGTAGATTAAAAAAAAAAAGATTATATCGGTATGGAAAAAAAAAAAGAAAAAAAAAAAAAAGACAAATTTCATCTACGTTCTCACTTAAAGAGAACTATAGCTCGATAGAGAAATAGTATCGATATAAACTATGTCAAGGATACATTGTCGGTCGTATCAAAGCGAGCCACATTCGACGTACGATGAGCGATGAGATATACTTACGAGTTCGTCTGACGGGCAGGTTTCTATTTCTAGACGGTAGTTCCGTGACGACAGGAGCCGCGGCAGGTGGCGGAGGGGGCGGTGGGAGCGTAGGGGGCAGTGTAGGTGGTAGCGTCGGGGGTACGGCCGATGCTTACAGACAAAGCAGCAGCGCCAGTCCGCGAGGGGTTGTAACCGGTGGTGGTTATTGCGGAAGTTCGGCTAGCACGCCGCACAGCCACAGCACCAACGGCAGCTATTCCGTTGCGAATCCATACACTGGAAGTCCGACTCTTTACACGTCGCGTAAGTTCTTTCTTTGTTTAACTTTTCTTCTCTTTCTCTCTCTCTCTCTCTCTCTCTCTCTCTCTCTCATTCTTTTTTCATTCGTCCTCTATTTATCACAAACTCGAGTTCTCGATTTGATTATCCTTGAAACCCGTTGATCTTACCCATGTAGCGCTTATTCACGTTATTTTACACGATTAGCAAGCACGCACACACGCACACACACACTCACTCACTCACTCACACAGTCATTCATTCAGTCTCTCTTTATGGTTTTTTCCTTATGTGGAATTTTCGTTTTAGCGCACGAACAATACGGCATTTTCTATACGTCCGGGGACGGGAGTGCGTTCGCCCCTGTAGTACGACCACCGACCACCTCAGTCCCACCGCACTGGTCCACACAGCACCACCTCGCTACAGCCGCCCAGTAACCGCTAACCGTCCACCATCACCACCACCACCATCACCATCACAACTACCCTACGCGCTGAGATTAAAGAGTTATCAGAGAAACATGCACGAACGACGAGACTCGAGAATGTAGGTACATTCATTTACGATCTTCCTTTTGGCCGGCATTTCTATTCGATCATATTTTTAATTGGATAATCGAATGACAGCCAATTAATAAGGGTAGTGAAAGTCGAACATATGCACCGCTTCTTTTCTTTTTTTTTCCTTTCTTTTTTCTTTTTTTTTTTTCGCCAATTTCATTATTTCTTCCTTGCTTATGTAGGTATCTTAGAAATGATATCGTACGAGATAACGAGCGAGTTATCTCTGCCTTTTTCGTTAATACGTTTAACAGAACGTTCGAACGTTCGACGACTACGTCATCGAAGTCGTTAGAATGATCGTTCCCGTTGGCACGTGTCTGCATATGAGATCGTGCCCCTACGTACCGTGGAAGTAAGTCGCGTAAAAGACGATGAGAACGGCCATGAACTCGATGTGTAGGAAAATAAAGAAGAAAAAAAGAAAAGGAAAAAAAAGAGAAAAAAAACCCTCCCCCACTCCCCACCCCCTCCCTCTCCGAGAAAAAAGAGAAAAAGAGAAAAAATGAAAGATAAAAGAACACGAGAAAAAAGAAAAGAGAAAGAAAAATAGAGAGAGAAAAAGATAGATAGAGAGAGAGAGAGAGAGAGAGAGAGACAAGCACACATATAGAAAAAGAAAAAAAAAATGAAAAAAAAAAAGAAAGAAAGAAAGAAAGAAAGAAAGAAAAAAAAAGAAAAAAGAGAGATAAAGTCGTACAAAAGTCGCGTATCGCTGAAAATAGTAAAATGAAAGGGAAGCATCGGGTACGGTTCAAGGATAAAATCCCATTTACGTGTTTTATCCCATAAATGGTCATAGAAAATGATGTTCGCTTCTAAATCGCTCGCTCGCGATAATCTCGATGTATACCTCTCGAAGTTTACCTTAACTTTCGTGAACGTCTCTCACGTTCTTCCTAGTATATATATATATATATATTTTTTTTTTTCTTTCTTTCTTTCTTTCTTTCTTTCTTTCTTTCTTTCTTTGACCCTTTCCCTACCCATCCCCACCACTTTTCTTTCCTATCCTTTTCTTTACTTTTCATTTCATTTCATTTCATTTCATTTCCTTTCATTTCATTTCATTTCATTTCATTTGTCTTTCCTTAATCGTTAACCAAGATATATATTTATTCATTTCGTAAAATATGACGGCAGAGGCGATTACTAACGTATAACCGACAGTGGGCATGTTGTAGGATTAGGAGAGGTGGTCGGCTCACCGTTCAACATGAATCCATTTGTGTTGCCAACATGCAGCCAGGGCTACTCGACCACCGGCAGTCCGCTACTCTCGTCGAACGGCAAATAGTGTTATGAGATGTAAAACTACGATGGATGAAGGGGCTGAGGTGCCATCATGGGAAGAGGACTTTGCGTGCCGAGAGATAAGGACGGATCAAGCGCGATGTCCCCTTTCCTATTAACCTCCTCCTATTTCTATTTCTATTTCCTTTCTTCTCTCTTTTTCACTCACCATCTCTCTCTCTCTCTCTTTCTCTCTCTTTCTTCTCTCTCTCTCTCTCTCTCTCTCTCTCTCTCTCTCTCTCTCTCTGTCTTTCTCCCCTTTTTCTCTTACAAACTAATTACTTCTCAAGTGGACAAATAACGATAAATCAATCGCGTACGATTTCCGTCGTAAGAGTCAAAAGTATCTCTCGACGGCGCAAAGAATTATTCTATGATCGAAAAGATTCTCGAATTAATTTTTTTCTTTTCTTCCTTTTTCTTTTCTCTCTCTCTTTTTCTTTTCTACATTCTTCTTAACTTTATTTCTTTCTTACGATCGTGATATAATTAACGACGAATCATACATATCGTACAACGAGATATGGTGTCACAACGATGGAATAACATCGACGTAATAAAGATATAATTTTATTTTCAACTTTTTGACTTTAATAAAAGTTATTATCTTATTTCGATTTTATTAGCTCTTTTCGATTTCTCGTTTTCTTTTTTTCTTTTTTTTCTTTTTTTTCTTCGTTTTTCTTTCTCGTTTTTCCTATTTATATACAACTATTGTTATAATGTTCGCAAATCAATGCACGAGGGATTAATCGATTAAAAAAAAAATTTGTTGCATTCGAACGTCATTGATATTCAACGATACACGTATCTATGTATATCTATGAATGCAAATGTTTTAATTGAAATAGAATTGTGACACCATTATAAGGGACATATCGCTTAGCGGTTGAGCAAACAGACTCGATAGTTTTTAGAGAGCATTTTCGAATTGAACAAAATTTTATCCTCCTAGTCCCCCTTTATCCAATTGATCCTTTTACTCCATACCCCACTCCCAACCTCACCCACCATCCTCACCTCATATCTTCCCTATTACGCTCCGAACACCCCATCCACCCACGCCTACGTTTTAAAAGACTAACCGACTTATCTCGCCTAGATAGAATTGATATTTAACATATTGTAATTTGTAAATTATCTGTAAATATTGTTGCGATGTACAAAAAGACAAAACTATTTGCGATAGCTCGAGCGAGCGAGACGATTATTAAAAGTGCGATAATAGAGGAAAAGGTTATATAGGATTGTAAATATTATATCGTAGAGAGAGAAAAAAAAAAGAAACAATGAAAAAAGAAAAAAAAAAACAAAGAAAAAAAAAAGAAAAAAAAAAAAAAAAGGCCCGTAGCTTATCCGTATTATAATTGTACTTAACAACGCCATCCAATTTTTTAACGAACCTATCGGCGATCGAGCGCGAAATTTGATTTTCGCGTTTCGCTCTTCGATCCTCAAACTCGAGCCAACTAAATAATTTCTTATTACGATCGTCTACGTTTTCTCGCTGTCTATCACGTCTAATCGATTTATACAAATTCGATTGAGGGGAAAGGAAAACAAAAAAAAAAGCAAAAAAACAAAAAAAAAAAAAAGAAAATGAAAAAAAAACCAAAAGAAAAAAAACAAAGAGAGAAGAAAATTAATCCGACTGTGACACGAGAAAAGTTAAAAAAGTTGGACCGAGCGCGATCTATAATCGAAGTAACAGTCGATAACGAATTCGTTTGATAAGCCACCCAAATTTACGGGACATACTCACACGAATCACGAAGAAAGTATACGATGCCATTATAAATCAACGAGAAATAAAACTTTCGATTAGCCCAGATTTTACCAGTACACTTCAACGAGCACGATGATGCGTGCGTCGTATCGTTTTTGTCTGAACGAAGCGTCGCCGTTGGAATTATTATTGTAAAAAGTTCCTTTTTTGCATATCGACCTTATCGGGAGATTGCAATTTTCTATGGCGATAATAAGTCCATTGAAAATGCAATATCCTTATCTGGGAATGAACGGAACTCAGTCGTCTTGTGATCTTAATTAATAAAATATCTATAGTTCGGTTATATAATTTTTAATTCGATCACGCACACAATCACATCTTAAGTAGGACGCGTCGTTCTTGTACGCATGCGAAATTGCGCGTGTAGACATTCGAGCGTACGAGCACTCTCGTCGTTGTATATTAAAATAAATTAAACTTACATTTTTGAGAATTAAAAAGATGGACCATATTGTGTTAGCTGACGTCATCAACCTATCTTTATCATTCATTCTTTCTCTCTCACTTTCTCTCCCTTTCTCTCTCTCTCTCTCTCTCTCTCTCTCTCTTTCTCTCTCTGTCTATCTATCTTTTTTACAATTGTACACGTGTATATATATATGTATATATATATATATATACGCACGATACGCATAGATTATGCTCTTATCATTTATCGATCAACACATTTAATATCTCTCACATACAATCGAGGATCTACCCTCTTCTTTTCAAGATTGCTAGTAAGTATGCGTTTAAGAATTTACGTACTTCGTACGTCATAATAGTTTGATTTGCGTTATATTTGCAGAATACATATTAGTTGACAAAAATAGTTTATTAGCTGATGATTAACATTGTTAAATATCTTATTAAATAAAATGATAGAAATATTATAGCTGACTTCTTTCTCGCACTTTTTATTACGATGATACTTTAAAAAAAAAATAAAAGAAAAAAAATAATAATAATAATAATAACTTTGAACATAACGATAACAACGACAACAACAACAATAACAACAACAATATTGAGTCAAAGATTTTACATTCATTCTAGTTAACGTGATAATAATCGATATCGTGAAAAGGTAATAAGGATTATAGTTAATCGTTGAAAGCGCATAGTGGACGACCCATTCAGTCCCGAGAGAACGCGCATTCGATTTAACAAATAGCGAAACAGGATCTCCAAGACCACTTCGAAACGATTAGTTCACATGGTGTCCTGTTACCTCAGGCCACCAAACGATGCCGTGTATGATGTACGTTATTGTAAGGCTGTTTGCGTTATTAGATTTAGATCGGCTGGAGCACGGCACGTGGCTAGGGCTGCACGTGTCACACTACAAACGTTACAACGTGAGTATAATACAAAATCGTTTCTCTCTCTCTCTCTCTCTCTCTCTTTCTGTCATAGTCGGTGTATTGCTTCCTTTTATCCTCGTGCCTAGAGCTAACACTTCCCATACGTATACTCGATTGTTTTTCTCCCAAAGATTACATTGATTTTTCTTTTTTGTTACAATATCCTCTTCGATAATATTATAAAATAATAATTGTAAATGTTGTTTATATATTAGAAAAAAAATTACGTATAGATTTAGAAAAGATTTAGAAAAAAGAGAAAAGAAAAAAAAATTATGTTTCTCTCCTTTTTTATAATACGTACAATTTTTAGATAGGAAAGTCTATAGGTAAATGACGAAAAATACTTATCACGGGTAAAACTTTGTATCAAGAGAGCATAAGATATATAGAGGTAGTATGAAAAAAATCTTTCTAATTATTTATATCTCATGTTTTCCTATTACAAAATCAAATTGATAGGAATATTTGGCTAAAGTATTACAAAAAGAATATTATATTAGGAGAACGTAATGTGTAAAGAGATGGCACATATTAAAATTTTTTACTTTTTCAAAATTTGCTCGATAGATAACTTATCGACCGATCAAGCCAACTGAATTATCGACATTTTACATTCTTATCGACGCCGTGTAATTTTCTTGCTGTGTCGGTACAAGTGATGGTATGTTATCAACACTCGTTTAAATTTGTTCTATCGTTGGTAATTTACCGACTGATAATTGTTACCAACCTTCGTTTTAAAGTCTTCTTTGTTGATTTTAAATTTGTGCTCGATTGGTAATCTATCGAGCTATGATAAGCTATCGATATTTTATATTCTAAAATCCTACTCCGTAAAATTTTTTTGCTTTGTAAAAGATAAGTTATTTATATGCCACAAGTGAATTTATAAATTGCAAAGACATAAAGATTAAGGAGGTACTACAAAAAATAATTTATACTACTTTTGGATAATGTTTTTCTTAAATAACGTCTAATTTGAGGGGAAAATTTTGGGAAATATCACGAAGAGAACATTTTATCAGGATAACATGAAGTCAACGAAAGTGGCACGAAAAATCTACTACTTCTTATTAAATTATGTTCTTCTAATACAAAGTTCGATTTGCTGGAAAATTGTTGAATGTATCGCTATTGAAAATTGAGAAAATAGACGTTGAAATGGAAAAATCTAATGAATATAATTCATAGATTTCATTCATAGATTTTCATTCAATCTTTCAAAAGAGAATAATTATTACAACGTATATTCATATATAAGAAAGAAAGATATACATGATGTAAGAGAATATAGTTATGCTTTCTATAATATATCATAGTAATTATAATATACCATAGTAATTATAGTCTATATTTTATTTGACTATAATAAATGATATTATGATTGACACTACAAGTATTTCCTTATACGAATTCATTATATGAATTCTGTAATATGTCTATCATTACACATCTTCTTATTCATCGACTGTATCTACGACAAATATACTTTGTATCGTCTAATAAATAAATGAAAGATCGAAATTCTATTTATATTTATTTAAATTATAAGATTTATAATTATTTAATTTCTTCGATATAGATTATAAATCAGATACGATAAAATAAAGGAGATATTTTAAAGTTTCAATTAAAACAAAATTTATCTAAAAAAAAGTATCATTAATGTAACAATAATAAAATTAGGATTGATTAGATAAAAAAATATAATTATGTAAAAAAAACAAATACATTACTTATAGTTATTTTTAAGGAAAAAAAAAAAAAAAAGTTATTTGCCAGGTGTGGGGTTCGAACCCACGCTCCCATCCGGGAACCAGAACTTAAATCTGGCGCCTTAGACCGCTCGGCCAACCTGGCTTTCGTATTTACGTTTGCCTTAAAATTGTATTTAAATCAATAGACTTTTAATTGAAACAAAATTAAAATTTATAATTGTAAATTTATGCAAAAGAAAAAAATATTTACATCATAAAATTCATATAACATATGACGTATTATTAAAGACTTGTTTTAATTTTTATTAGATGTCCCGTCATTGTCATCGAGATAAAATTTTATTACTATACGAATTAAAATGGATAAATTTGAAATACTGTCGATATATCGATCCATGTATACTCACATTGATATTTGTAATATCAATTAAAAAAAGAAAAAAAAAAAGAATATTAAATAAGAAAATGAAAGTATTAAAAAGTAGACAATAGGAAGAAATAAATGTATAATCACGTGAATCACATTATTGTTATATTAATTATATATATTCTTCGTATAAAAAGTTCAAACATATTAGATATCTTAAAATATCTTTATCCGTTTATAACTTACAATACGAAAAGTCATTTTTAATTGCACGATATACAACGCACAATATTCTCGCATATGTATGAAATAATGTCTTTCATGAATAAACCGTAGTCAATAATAAAATACTCTATGGTGGCGAAATAGTATCACATAGTTTGGGCAGCCCTTTAGGACCATTTAACTAAAACGTTAGTCCCATTTTAATCTTAGTCATTAATAAATAAATAAATTATAATATAATAAATAAGTTAGCAATGCGCGCAAAGTGTAGACAATAAATAAATAATAATAATAATAATAATAATAATAATAATAATAAATATTGATCGTTCCTGAATAAAAAAAAAAAAATACAAAAAAAGAAAAATAATAATAATAATAATAATAATAATAATAATAATAATAATAATAATACTAATAATAATAATAATGATGATGAAATAAATTAATAAATAAATAAATTACTTGTAAAATCTATGAAAACCTAACGATTCGTAATATTATTTATATGGCGATTTTTAATGGCGACGTCTTAATAAAGATTCAACGATACCGATCACGAAAACACGACATATCCCTAAATTAATCTATATCGCCTTTTATCAACGTTCGTATCGTTTTAT